GTCTATGAGTCTTGATAATAAGATAGACTTGCTGATGCCACAACAAGTAATTGTGGTCATCTAAAACAACATTGATCTTTTCGTCGAAAACAAACAAGTAAAAGCATTAACCGTACTCAGATCTGACTGACTATTATCAGAGACATTATTCATTGAAGAATCACACGAAAAACAAAATAGCAGCAGATCAACAAAAAGAATCACACGAAAAAAAATGCAGATCAAAGAAGTACAAGACCGGAACAGAAACATCAATTGAAACAGCAAACCAGATGCAATCAGCAACGAAACTTGCACATAAAGGAAAGGAGAAATTGAAGAACAAATAGCAATATCACTAGATCAGATGACAAGAAAGTCACTCTTCGAGATCCAAATATGAACATTGAGCACTGAAATTCATGGAGTCACTGACGATCGCAACAAAACTCATACAACACGCAATGAAACTCGCACAACACATCAAAACAAACAAAAAACGAAGCCTCAAGTGAACAGATCATACAGATTCAATCGATGAACCAGAGAACTTGAATGAAGAAGAAACTGATCACGAACGACAGCAATAACGCGTGTAGGCCCCTCTTAGATAGTTTTAGTAATGAGAGTCTGCTTTGTATTGGCTTGTGAAGCAGTGTATTCCATTAGCCATTGTTCCAAGCTATAGCAGTTATTGTTGAACGATTTAGTTTAAGTAGCTTATTGCCTGTGTTTTTTACATTTCTTCCCTTGGTTTGTGACTTTGCTTAGGGTTTTATTTTACCTCATTATCATTGTGTATTTTCCTTAGATGTTTTGCGGTCGATTATTTGTTATGCAGAGTCACAGGTTCCGAATCCCTAGCTTTGGTGCTCGTTGTTACTATTCGAAGAAGCTCCCTGTTTAATTGCGAAGCTTGATTGAGAGTTCTAGAATAAATCTCCTTGATGTAATCGTTGGTCGTGTAGGACTAGTGCTTTTGTCCTGCAAGTTTTTGGATTAAGCTGGTTGGAATGTAACTTAGTCTTTCTGTGCTTTAGGTTCAAAAGTTTGGTGTTGCGTTTTGGTGAGTACCCTATGGTATGCGATAATGTTTTAGTGTAGCATTGGAGAAGCTTCTGATCTCCTATGTAGATTGTTGCGTGTTTGTGTTGTTTGTGATGTTGTGCGTGCTGCAACAGATGTTGATATACTCTAATTATCTCGACATTGATCAGGTGCACTCTTTTTACTCCAGTTAAGATTTGAGAGGTTTTTTAATTAGACCCTATCGATGTTCTATTTTGTATGGTATTGCTTTTCTTAATCATACAAAACCCTTTAAAAAAGTCCAACAATTAATAATATTTATCTCATAAATGGAATTACATCAAGCCTTAATTGGTTTGGTTTAACCAATGAAATTTATCAAATTTAGTTTATTCTATTTCAAAATTAATCAAATTAAAAACTCAATTTATTTGATTAATTCAATCAATTTAATATTTTTAAAATAATAATTGTGTCACGCACCAAATTGGCGTTTGAAGTTTTAACAAATTATTAATCATTAAGTGAAATTCAGGTCATGTGGACTAAATTGGAAGAAAAATAAAGTTTAAAAAACTTAATTGAGATAAACGTGAAGTTTGAAGACTTCATTGCATATGAATAAATTTAATTGATGATCAAATTGAATGAACTAAAAACTAGAAAACTAGTTCGAGAAGAATAAGGACTAATGTGAATGTAAAATAGAACTTTGGATTAAATTTGTGAACCTTGGAAAGTTCAAGATCATATAAATATCTAGAATGATTCTAATATTAGAATTAAGGAGCGACATCTAAGAATACATCATTGCTACCTAACTTACAAGAATTCATGATTTGACATAGCCTTTCTATGATTAACTTTTATGTACCAAATCATTTTATTGTTTTTATCTATATTGAACAAAAGTCATAGATCAATCATACTTATACAGCTCATCTAATATTTCTTGACATCTTGAGTAGACTATTCAAAAGAATAACTATAATATCTTATATCAATTTATCCGAGCATGGTTATTCATTTTATAGTCTCACTCAATTAAGTGATCTAAGATATTGCTCTCATTATGTATGGGGGATAAATTCTATATTGATCAACCATATCCTACTACATAGATCATGACATGTCCAACACTAGTCTTTATAGTTTAACCAGTTAGGACACATATTTGACTACATCAAAATATGTGACTCACAATTTTGGAATAATGATGATCTAAAGTATGTGGATAATACAAGTAGTTATCACCATGAGTAATGTTGTGACAGTCACATAATCACACAAGAAACGTACTTAGAGCGGGTTAGCCAATATGTTGTTCTCCAACTCACGCATATGTATTGATTTTGAGAACTACATGTCAATGACAACACATTGTCATCAATCATTTACACATTAGTCTTAATATATTATTAAAGACCATAATAATATTTAACTAAGGACTTTTTAAGAATAATCATATTATTCTCATGACTTTATTCTAGTTTAATTTATTTATACACACAGAAAAACAACTGAACTAATAATGACAATATTTTATATTCATAAACAAGATAAAATAAATATGTCATTACAATCATCTCAAGATTGATATTTGGACGTCCTCTAACATAATTGCATGTAATCTTCATCGTCACTAAAAACCTCTTGTCTTTATCACGCTATTGCACCATCAAATCTACTCTAGCTTCAGCAATTAAAACAAGAAACTTGAAACTAAATGGGCCAGTTTGGCCTTCCTAGATACCTGATCACAAAACTAGTCAACCTTTCAATTAAGCAAGTTTCGAGTTTGGCCCAATTAAAGCTTGGGCCCATCACTGACTACCATTGTTAGGTCATCTACCCAAGTATACTACGTAGGTCAAATACATTGATCCACTTGAATCAAAACCAAACTAAGTCGAATTGAACTAACAGAACTAGATTGAACCATTGATTAGATCGTTGACCAAATCTAGTTTGATCGACCCATTTATCTATTGACTTGATCCGATCAACATGTTTACTTGTTAACTTTGACATTAGTTGTTGACTTATTTGATTCATTGATTAGAACTATTGAGTGTTGATTTTGACCATCGTTGATTTTGACTTTAACTTTTGATTAGAACTTTGACTTTGCAGTTTTCGATCTCTTGATTTTGATTTCACAATTAGTTTCACCGAATTTTGACCCAAAAGCTCTATTTTGCATTATGCATTACTTTATAGTTATGTTAGAAATATTCTGGAATTAAAAGACTTATACATTGGTTTATGTTCTGAAGGTGATCATGTATACAAGCATCTCTCTCTAGTAAATCAAGATCAATGTCTTTCAGTTTAATTTGACTTCGCACATTTTACTTGAGATACATATTAGTATTGTTAATTAAATTAGTGGTTCTTTTTGTTTTAGTGTTATGTAGAGTTATGTTATCGCAGATTTCTACACCCCATGACCTAGTAGTCTAGATCGTGGAAAATGTATTATTTAGCTAATAATGTTATAGTAGTGTAGATCATGAAAGTGTATTCTTTAGCTAATAATGTTAGTTGTTAGAGGTGTGTCCATGTGAAATCATGTATGCTTTACTTTTTATGGGGTCGCCTTGAGTGCATGACAACACTTGTATGTAATATTTATATGTATGATTACTGGTTACAAACATTATCTATTTTCTTGTTTTATGTTATATGCGTATGCTTAATTTTCGAATTATGTTATGACATGTATGACTCGAGCTTTATTTATGTGTTTGAGGTTTGAAATGATATGGTGAAAGATTCCTATTTCGAGTTCCTCTTTTAATGTTAATTCGGGTTCCTTTTTGGATGGTAAGATCCATATTCTATTTTTAGTTTTTCTTCAAAGGTTAACTCAGGCTCTTCTTCTAAAGGTAAGGTCCCCATTGCATTTTCAGTTTTAAGTTGATCTTCAGAGGTTAATTTAGGTTCCTCTTCGGGTGATGAGTACCCTGTCATGTTTCTTATTTTGAGTCTCTTCAGTGGTCCTTGGTTTCTCTTCGAAGGGTAAGGTCCCCATTTTGTTTCCCGTTCTGAGTTTTTCTTAGGAGGTTAACTCATGCTCTCCTTTGAGGAGCAAGTCCCTATCCTGTTTTCTATTTTAGGTCTATCTTTGAAGGTCTCGAGTTCCTTCGGAGGGTAAGGTACCTATTCTGCATGGTTTTAAGGAGGCTCGAGGTTATGTGAACCTCTTGTTTTGATGTTCGAGTGATGGTTAGTTAGGTCTAATGGTTTTCTGCATTATTGTGTTGTTTATGTTTTTATGTTGATGTCTGCTTGTGCTTGTAGGACACACTAAGCTCTATAACTCATCACTTTTACGTATTTCACTTTTAAATTATCCAAATGTATGACCGATTTGGCAATCATAAGTTTGGTTTCAGTTTTATATTCTATGATGGTCAAATATTACTTACTATTTTATTTGATAAGAGTGTTATAAATAATTGGTAAAATATGACTTTCTATCAAGGATCACTTCAGTGATCAATATGATATCTACAATTTAATCGTAACTTAAGTGATATAATATTTTTTTTGATAAATTCTAAATTTAATTATTATCATACTTAAAAGGGAGGGGAAGGGGGTACTCTAGGAGAAGAAGGGAACTGCTCTTAGTAAATCTAAAATTCATTGCCTAAGGAAATACGATGGAACAAAGATGAACATCTTGACCAATCAATGAAAATACATTAATTAATGTCATTTTTCCTAAACAAGAATGATGGTTGAGTTGATTAGGTCATAGTCATAACTAACGACTTCACAAATAGGAGGAGCGAGTCCCGGGGACTCATTTGGTTAAAACCAGGACAATTTTCAGTTTCCCTATCAACAGCCTACTTTTATGCAATTGTTTCCAACCATTTCACACCATTAAAGACCTCAAAACATCCACAAAACTCAAAACCCGACACCTATACTCTCTCTCAATTCTCGAACACATTGTGAGAGATATTTAGCATCAAAGATTTTTATAGAAAAGAGAGAAATGGAGGATGAAACCAGCCACGAAAATGTGACACAAGGGCATAACAAAGGAAGCCCCGATAGCCCGTGTGCAAAAACCGGTGGCACCGGCAATAATAAAGAACAAGATCGTTTCCTCCCGATAGCAAACGTGGGCAGGATTATGAAGAAAGTGATTCCGAGCAACGGGAAGATATCCAAAGATTCGAAAGAAACCGTTCAAGAATGTGTGTCGGAGTTCATCAGCTTCGTCACGGGAGAGGCCTCGGACAAATGCCAAAGGGAAAAGAGAAAGACCATTAATGGAGACGATATCATTTGGGCCATCACTACCTTAGGATTCGAGGAATATGTAGGACCCTTAAAATTGTACCTAAGCAAATATAGAGAGATTGAAGGAGAGAAGCTTAACATTCCAAAGCAGCAAAGATCTGAGCAAAAGCAGCAACATCAACTTCAACAACAATCGAAACATGAACAAAATATACCTAATTTCAATAGCAGTGTATATTCTTCAACAAGTTTATTGTCTCGTCATAGTTCCTTTGTGCCTTCGGATCAACCATTTTCGTTGCCTTTCTCACCAAATAACATCCAAAAGCAATTACAGCAGCAGCAAGACCAGATTGATTCAGTTGGGTACTGGTAAGAACAACGGGAAATATTTTTTTCTCAATTTTTCCTTTTTTTCCCTGTTAACAACAAATTTTGCATTGCAATGTTGTTAATTAATTTCACACACACTCTTGGATATATATTGTATTGTTATGTAATATTAGCAATATTATACGTTTTTGAATAATTTAATTAGCAAATATATATACTATGATTCAATCGACAAACATAGATTATCTTGATATCATTCGGTATAGTACGTTATAGAAACAAATTAAATAAATTTATGATGAAAATATTTGATTTTTTTATGTTTCTTTTTCAGTTCTAAATGATACATGTGTGCATATATGTTTAGAAAAAAAGTAAGAAATTCAGAAGCATATCCTCGAAAAATTTCAGAAGAATAATCAATTTAATATTATATATCTGAACATATGATTCAATTTCTGACATTTGCAATTGATATCCATATGAACACCCTGGTATATTTTTTTATTTTTTTATTTTATTAATAAATTATGATCTGAATCCATCAAACGTTTTTAGTTGTTAAAGAGAGTTAGGAGTATAATCATGTTTTTTTGTCCCTTTCTCTTTAGGAGAATATTTTATTTTTATTTTTTCTGTAAAACGAAAAAAAAAATATAATGTAAGTGGATCTTAACTTATATATATTATAATATATAATTATTGTCCGACCTAGTTTTTTTTTTCAAGATCCAAACATTTTATTGAAGCTAATTTTGAAGTCTGGGGCATCATCTGACTTGCAATAAATTTTCAAGCAAATCCAAACATTTCTAAGTGAATTTTTAGTAAAACTTAGTAGATCCAGTAAGAGATAAAATTTATATATCTGATCTTTATTAATCCAAAAGATTGGCGATGACTAAAAAAAGTAAAATTCTTTTAAGTCGAAATATGGTCCTAGACTATCTTAGAGACCATTTCCAATATATATATATATATACAAACACGCAGGCTCCTGAAGACAGTCATTAGGTAGTGGTTAAAAGCATTCTAAGATACTTAAAAGGTAGAACCATGCTTTTTGTCCATTTCTCTTTTATAACTTTTCGTTTTAGATATCAAATGAATCTTATATTTATTTATATCTTATTCCATAAGAATAATTATATGAATCAACTAAATTAAATTTTAAGCTCATCCTTTCTCTTCCCAGCTTTTTGCAAATAATAATAATAATAATAATAAAAGTTTAGAATAAAAATATATTAAATGTTCATAATCTAAAGAAAAAAGAGTTTTTAAAAATTCAAATTAAATTAATCACACTACCTGTTCACCTTCCCTAAAATCATCAAAGAGAAAAAACTAACTATTAAATAATAAAGATAAGATCCTAAAAAGAAAAGGTCAAAGAAGGCTTAACTAGAAAATAAATGCTCAATGAGTCTACAATGAGTGATATTCATTTAATTGCACCACTAATGATATACATTAAAATGTACCACTAATATAAAAAAGGGTAAAATTCATAAATAGTTACAAAAATTTTTAAATTGATTTTATTTATTATTGAATTTTTAAAAGTTACAAAATAGGCATTAAACTTTGATCTTTGTTAAAAAAAATAACAATGCATAACATACTAAATTAATGAAAAAAAATCTTATTTAGCCCTTCATAACTAAAATTTTATTTTAATATTTTCAACATTTTTAAGTAATAATTCTAAAAATAAAATGTTTTAATTTTTAAATATATGAAAATAAATTATTTTTAAAATTAAAAAATATTTTCCAAAAATCCAATTATCAAACAATGAAATTAATTTTTTTTATTAAACCAAAATTATTTCATAACTAATTATTTATTTAATTTTTTTATTTTCAAAATAAAAATTTCTAATTTTCAACGTCCGAAAAATTATATTATCAAATAAGAAAAATATTTTTTATTAATGATGTGATTTAAGCATTTAATTTTATTTAACAAATTCAAATGTAATTTAAAAATCATAAATCCATAATATTATAATATCATATCGAATAAATTTTAATTTAGATGGTACAAATTTAATATTTATAATTAAACGATAATATTTTTTATCTATATCTATTTTATTTTCAATTCAACTAACCTCATAAGAATTATTTCAATTAAAATTAAGAGTTTTAATTATAATTAAAGGGTCAAATGAGATATTTTTAATGGTTTTGTGCCCATTTTGTAACAAAAAATAAAAATTAATATTCATTATGTAACTTTTAAAAGTTAAGTGTTAAAAAAGATAATTTTTGATATAGTTTAATGACTATGTGTAAATTTTATCCTATAAAATTAGTAGTGAACTGCAACGAATGACATGCATTCTAGAATTTTTCTCTAACTATAGTGTTTTTCTCAAATAGGTGTCCAAACTTTTTTTCGATTCATCTAGCTGTATAAAGTTACAAACGTTACACTTTAAGCGCCTTAGTCGTAACGACCATTAAAATATTATGTTAAGTGACACGTGTCATGTTCGAATAATTTTAAAAATTTATTTAAAATTTAAAATTTTAAAAATATATATTTTTTAAAAAAACCTAAAACTTTGAAAATTCCTCACCCATGCCGACCATTTAGGTCACTGTCGCCGTCGCTGAGAACCCATCCACCCATCGTCGACCACCACTAGAAAAATCATCCCAACATTGTCCCTAAATCCTAATAGAAACAATTTCCCAACCGCACCCCCTCGCAAAATCTTAATTCTCAGTTTAACACAATTGCTTGAAACAATTGTTTGCAATCAACAATTTTGTTAACTCGGCCTTATCGATTGCATCAATTCACCCATTTTAATTGCTTGAGCCATCACCACCTGACAAGTTAGGGATTTGAATGTATGATTTAGGGTTTAGATATTTTAGTTTAAAGATATAGGGGATTCGGTGATAGTAAGGATGATGTCCCGTTATTGGATGACCGACAATGGATGGGTAGCCTTTTGACACCGGTAGATGGCCAGTGTGGTTAACGGGGATTTGTAGATTTTTTGTAATTGAATAGAAATTAAAGTTTTTTCAATATAAAATTATTTTTAATTTTTTTAAATAAAATTTTTAAATATACTAGAACATGATACGTGTCACTTAACAGAATTTTTTAATGATCGTTATGGTTGGGGCACCTAAAGTGGTAATGTTTGTAACGTTAGGCACCTAGATGAATCGATAAAAAGTTTGTACACCACTTTGGGAAAGCAGTATAACACCCCAAATCTCGAGTTACTAGGTTTAGGCTAAACCGAGAGTGTTTTGGTTAACCGATTAGCCTTGAAGGAAAGCTTGGTTCAAATGGGAGTTGGATTGGACTTGGTTTAAGACCAGTTAGAGTAAAAAAATGCATTTTATATTGGTGACCAAAGCTAGAAGGACCAATGTAGTAATTTCGCCATTTAAAGTTTGAAAGGTTGATTTCCTTTTAATGTTGATAAGGTCACGACAGAGATATCTTTTTCTTCCCACTCTCCTTTGTCATTTTCTTCTTCCTACAAATCTCATCTCATCTCTTTGGTAGCTTAAAAAATGGTGGAAACTTTGTTGGCTTTCATCTCTAGTCCAGTCTTGCAAAGATAACAATCGAAATCAGCATCGTTAGATCTTCCATTTAAGGCCACAAAATCAAGTTTTGGTCATGGTGGGGGTTTAGAAAGGTTTTGGAAACCCTTGAGAAAAATAGCTCATTTTTTTAGGGGATTTGGGATGTAAGAATCTTCCTTAACATCTTCATAATTCCTAAGCAAACTAGTAACTCATGTTTTTGGACCTTGTTTAATAGGAGAAGTTGGAGAAAACTCCAAAAGAAATGAAAGGAAAAAACTAGATGTGTTTGATTGGTTTGCATGAGTTCATGAAGCATATAAGTGCATCCATGGTACACTTCAGTTTTTGATGATATTCAGCGTGAAAATTAGCCTATAATGACCTATCTTAACATACATAAGACTTAAATAACAACTGGATACCTTAGTAGGGCTTTTGGGGAAAGTTAGGTAGCATTTTCTTGCTTCAAATAGAGCATTTCTAGGTTTAGTTATCGATAATGGATATACAAAATCGATATTGTTCTTCTGATAGCCTAAAACAAGAGGTTTTTGGTTGGGAGTATCGATACTCAAGAGTGTGATATTTGTACCATTTTCAGATTTCAAATTTGTAACACTTATAACCCGTATACGTCTTGAAATACGAGTTAGAGATGTTACATCATCATTTCAGACAATTGAACATAAATGCTTAAAATTTTGTTTCATTATAAAACATCCCCTTTATTAACTTTAAAGCTATTTAATTAATCGCATAAAATGATAAAGTAGTAATTTATGATAAAAACAAGATTTTAGGCAGCAATTGGGTAGTTATGTTGTTTCATAACCTATGTAAAACTACATAAAAACTGCTAAATTTAAAAATCATATAAAACATAATATATATATATACTACTCATTCATAAATACGAACATAACTAAACTAGTCAAAATAAATGGTCCTACTTACTATTATAGACCACTTAAAATAAATACGATAAAACAAAAAGGACAAATATAATATACATACCACTAATAAGTCCTAGGTAAGATGTATTATTGATACTGATATTAGGTATCATTTTCTGACAAGATGCTCAAGAGGCTCCTCACTTCACACCTACTCATGAAAATCATCACGTGCCAAGTAAACTTAGTGAGACAGTAACATGGCTAAGGTGAGATAATACATAAATATCATAAAATATTTTAAAACATAGAATTTTAATTTAAATAAAAACATTAAAACTTTCAAACCGAGCTATTCAAGCCATTATCCTCTTTGAAAACCTGAAAATCATTATCTCATGATTTTATCAAAAACCATGTAAATCAACATCAGATATGACAAACATTTCATATTCTTCTGATTCGTACATATTTCATAACTTTCTTTTAATTTCTATATTTTTTCTTTCATATACTTGTCATGACTTTCACATTTACTTTCATAGCCCAATGTATATGTAAGAGAATGCAAGGTACGTGAGTCA